GGTTTTGTATTCTTTATTTATTTGTTAAGAAAAAAAAAAAAAAAAAGCACATAAAATGTCCCTCCAGCAGCCCAGGGTGCAGCACCCACAGGCTGATGCAAACTGGGCTCTCGTGGTTGATGCAGATTTTGGCTTTCTGGGGAGATTTGCAAGCCAGGGCAGGGTTGCAGCACTTTCCTGGTGGTATTTGGGGTGCAGCAGGGATGTCACTGTCCCCCAGCTTGTGGTGAGCACCGTCAGGGCAGGAGGTGGTGGATGGGGAAGAAATATGATTACATGGAGAAGGAAACAAAACCCAGCTCATGTTTTATGGCCGATTTCCTGACCTGCACCCGGGCAGCATGGCTGATGCTTCCCAGCTTTCTGAAGTGCCAGGAATAGTGCTGGGAGTGGGGGCTGCACCAGGTCAATGCTGGGGACATGAGAGTGAAGGGACGGTGACCTAGGAGGGGTCTGGGAAAGGGACACAGGGACATGAGGTGGGTGGCCATGGCCACGCTGTGCACACTCCTCTGTACACATCAGCCTCTCCAAGGGGACACACGGTCCCTGCTGAGCCTCAGCTCCCTGTGTCCTAGTCTCTGGATCTCTGCCCTCAGCCTGAACCTCCCAGACCACGCAGGCACAGCCAGGGGCTGTTTCCCCCCCTCTTTCCCCTCCACATGGACCCGGCGTTCTTTCTCCTCCAGCTCATCCCTGCTCAGCCCCAGGGGCTGTGGGCTCCTTGTGCCCTGAGCACCCCATCCCCATGCTCCCCTGGGGGCTCTCTGGTTTCTGCCATGGGGCTCTGTGCAAAAAGAAGAGCTGAGGTGCCTTGTCTCCTCCCCAGAATAACCTGGATGAGAAAAGGACATCTCCCAGCCATGGGTGGTGCCAGGCAGCATTTCCTTTGCACTGCAAAACTCCAGTGAATTTTTTGAGAAAATGCCCCAAAGTGATCCCTGGGGTGTCTTAGCAGCCATCCTGGGGCTGCAGCTTCCCCCAGACTGCTCTCTGCCCCTTCTTGCCTGTTTGTCCCTCTCCATACACTCCCTGGGGTGCTCAGCACCCCAGGGCTGTGCCACGTGTCACCAGGGCTCCCCACACCCCACCTCACCGACACAGGGGCAAGGATGAGCAGCCCAAAATTTGGCTGCCATCTCCAAGCAGTGCAAGTGCCACCAGGGGGACAGTCACTGTCCTGAAGGCCGTGGCCGCGCGGTGTCTGTACGGCTCCTCTCGGGAACTGCAGCCCCCCAGTACCTGCTGGTTTTGCTCCAGGCAGGACCCGATTCCCCAGACTAACGAGCTGCACTAACGCTCCTCGTCACGCGCTTCCTCCCTCTCGCATGGGGCTCCAACCAACGGGACACCCAGCACAATTCCAGAGGGGGCTTGGAGAGGTTGTGGGACAGGGGATGCATCGAACAGGGCCATGGAGGGCACCAGAGCACCAGACCCAAATCTGGGGGTTTGGCTCTTTTGGGAGGTGGGAGGAGAAGAAAAATCCAAGGGACAATTTTCCTGGAAAGGCAGCAGAGTCGAACCCATTGACATGTGACACCAACCGAGCTCCTTGCTGGGCACTGTTTCTAAATCACTTTTTTATAATGTTAAACAGGGGAGAGACACTTCCAGCAACACGTTATCCTTGAGACGTTTTCTAATGGTAAATATTTTTGTTCTCTCTATCTCTCCAAATGGGTCTAACTGTAGCTGGTCTCTCACCTCAAGACCATAACGGGGCTCGGGGGGCTGAGCTGTCGTGCTAACCGCATGTCTCACTAACCCTGTCCCCCCCTGCTGCTTTTCAACCCCACTGAGCAAGCCTGGCCTCAGGCTGCAGGTGGGCTTTGCTCTGTGGACAGAGAGAGAATCCCTTTCCCTGGCTGTGCTTGCATGAGGAGGGGCTCTCGCGTTGCTCTGGTCGATCCAGCCTTGTGCAGGGGGGTGACAATCTGCTTTCTGGTGGCTGTGACAGTGGTTTTTCCCCACCCCACCATTCCCAAGCAAGTCCCACAGGAGCCTGCAGAGGCTACCAGTGGCTGGGTGATGGGGAGGGGGATGTTCATGCCCTGTGTTACCCCTGCCCGGAGCCCACTCAGTCACTGACAGTCCCCTCTGTGGGTTTGGGGACATTCAGGGTGTCCAAGGGTTTGGCCCAGAGGCACCCAGCCCAGAGCTGCAGCAAATGGCACGGCTGCAATGTCCCTTTCTCGGGCTGGGCACCTCAGGCTGCTTCCCCAGGGATTTCTTGGCAACCCCTGTCAGGTCTCTAAGCCCTTGCTGAAGGTAAGGTGGCACCTCTGCTCCACCAGCAAGGGAACCGAGGCAGTCTGAAGGTGCAGGGATATAGCTGTGGTGGGGAATCTTCTTCATGGGTGTGCTGGGTGCATGCAGATTCCTGGCATATCCAGGAAGAGCTATGGGTGTGTGGTTTGCCAGTGGCCGGGAACACCCACCATGGTTTTTGGGGGGCTCCACAGAGCCTTTCCCACGGGGTTCAAGAGCTCTGTGCTCGTGCTTCAGCCAACCCAGCTGTAATCCCTCGGGTTCCCGTGCAATTGTCTCCTTAGGCCAGCGGGATGGCAATCCTGCTGGGATTGCTGCTTCCCAGCAGGTGAAAGCGAAGCGGGAGCGTGTGCGGGCAGGGCACCGCGGGGGCATGGGCAGGGGCACAGGATGGGCAGGGCAAGAATTCCCATGGCACAGTGGTTGGTCGGGAAGTGAGGCTGGAGGTGGGATGGATGGAGAAGGGTGGGAAAGAGCATCTGTGTGTGTGTGTGTGCAGGCTGCTTTGTCTTCTCCCTCCCCCAGCCATGGAGCCCTCGCCAAAGCCCTGGGTGGTTGGGTGAGTCATGTGGGCTGGGAGCAGCCCCAGGCACCGCCGAACAATGCGGCTCTCCCGGGGCCCCGCGCCCAGCCCCGCTGCACCACAGGTACCCTGGCTGCCCCCTCCAGCTGCCCCCTCCAGCAGCCCCCTCCAGCTGCCCCCTCCAAGCTCTCTGTGATCCGAGGACGTGGTCCTTGCAGTGCAGAGCGTTGTGCCGCGCTGCTGCAGCCGTGCTGGCTCTGCTCCCACCCCATGCACACCCTGGGCAGTGTCCCCATCCTGCTTGGGAGGGTGTGCAGGGCTGGCTTTACATCCCAGCTGAAATTCCTGATTTTACAAAGGTGTCAGGAGGGGAGATGGGTGCTGCAGCTCTGGAGGAGGCTCCACCATCCTCCACTGTCCTCCCCAGTGCCGCCACTTCTCCAGCTCCTGGAGCGCCCATGCTGAGCCCGTCGTCTCATCTCATCAGCGACCCTGTTAAATCAATCCTCCCTGTGCTGCTTCTGCATCAGCTACTGAAACAAAGACTGGCCTTAAATAATTCATCGGGCTTCCAGAAAGTTTCCCTTCCCTTCAGCACAGTGTCACCCACACCGGGCTCTTCGACCCCAGCACCGCAGGGTGGGGGACGGTCCCGGCACGAGGACCTGGCTGGAGGCAGAACATCTACAGAAATCCCCTCCTTGCCGTTAGGTTTTGTAATTGTGCTGGCTATTAATTTCATAAAATGGTCCCTTTTGTTCTCTTATTATGGGACATCATAAAAATAGCAGCGGCAAGACGAGCACAGAGCGATCCCAGCTCCCTCGCCCCGCGGCAAATGGTTGGATGGTTCAGTCATTCCCCCCCCATGCGGCTCTCGCAAAGAGCGGGAGAACCTGGGATTTGCTCTTTCCAAGGAATTTCTTCAAGGCATTCTCATCTTGGGTTCCTTGAAGCCCAAATGCCTCATTTATCCAAGCAACCAGCCTTCTGAAAGGAATATTTTATTATCCTTTGTGAACAACTTAATGCACTTCAAGCCATTGTTCTGGTGGTTAGGACAGAAATTGAGGATTGATCTCACAGGGAAGCTGTCAAGCTGAAAATGCTTCATTTAAATTAGTGTCCCTTCTAGTCCTACCAGCAACAGCTGACTTTGATAATACTGAAATAATTAGCCTTTTTTTTTTTCTTTTTAAATTGGATTTTTTTTCCACTGATGCTGGTGCCTCTGTGTGTGTGTGTTCTAATTATACGAAGCGTCTCCCAAATTAGTCCGTGACACTGGACTGGCTGGTGTGCCCAAGGGGTGGGTGAGATAGGGACTGGCTGTGCAGGGTCACTGGTGGTTTTGTGGCTTGGTGGTGATGGCAAGCAAGGGAGCTGGGACTCCCCTTGCTGTCCCACTGGGGCTGTGCACCTGCATCCCTGGGGAGTTACATCCCTGGGGAACCACATCCCTGGCATGACCCAGCTCTGGCTGCACTTTGCACAGCAAAGACTGTGACTTGGTCACCTGGAACTTCGGTTCCTCCTGGTTGGAGTTGCCAAAGCTGGACTCCACCAGAGCCTGGTTCTGGGGCACACAGCCCTGGTGCCAGCATGGGGGCTGAGCCTGGTAGGATAAATCCCATGGAGCTGCTTTTCCCTCTAGTCAGCTGAAAAGCCGACGTGCTTTGGGAATGAAGAGCCTCTGTGGAGCCACCTCCGCTTTTCCCAGCGCCAC